TCACTTTTATTTGTCTCTTCTCATTTCCTCTCCTCTCACTTTTTATTTGTCTCTTCTCATTTCCTCTCCTCTCACTTTTTATTTGTCTCTTCTCATTTCCTTTTCTCTCACTTTTTATTTGTCTCTTCTCTTTTTTTCTCTCCTTTTTTTGTCATTTTTTCTCTTCTCTTTTCCTCTCTCACTTTTATTTTTGTCTTCTCTTTTCCTCTCCTCTCACTTTTATTTGTCTCTTCTCTTTTCCTCTCCTCTCTTTTTTTATTTTTCTCTTTTCTCACATTTTTATTTGTCTCTTCTCATTTCCTCTCCTCTCACTTTTTATTTGTCTCTTCTCATTTCCTCTCCTCTCACTTTTTATTTGTCTCTTCTCTTTTCCTCTCCTCTCACTTTTTATTTGTCTCTTCTCTTTTTCTCTCCTCTCACTTTTTATTTGTCTCTTCTCATTTCCTCTCCTCTCACTTTTTTTTATTTCCTCTCCCTCTCACTTTTATTTTCTCTTCTCCTTCCTCTCTCCTTTTTATTTGTCTCTTCTCATTTCCTCTCTCTCTCTTTTTTTCTCTTTGTTTCTCTCCTCTCTTTTATTTCTCTTCTCATTTCCTCTCCTCTCACTTTTATTTGTCTCTTCTCTTTTCTCTCCTCTCACTTTTTATTTGTCTCTTCTCATTTCCCTCTCCTCTCACTTTTTTTGTCTCTTCTCTTTTCCTCTCTCCTTTTTTATTTGTCTCTTCTATTTCCTCTCCTCTCACTTTTTATTTGTCTCTTCTTTTCTCTCCTCTCACTTTTTATTTGTCTCTTCTCATTTCCTCTCCTCTCACTTTTTATTTGTCTCTTCTCTTTTCCTCTCCTCTCACTTTTTATTTGTCTCTTCTCTTTTTCTCTCCTCTCATTTTTATTTGTATCTTCTCATTTCCTCTCCTCTCACTTTTTATTTGTCTCTTCTCATTTCCTCTCCTCTCACTTTTTATTTGTCTCTTCTTATTTCCTCTCCTCTCACTTTTTATTTGTCTCTTCTCTTTTCCTCTCCTCTCACTTTTTATTTGTCTCTTCTCATTTCCTCTCCTCTCCCTTTTATTGTCTCTTCTTTTCTCTTCTTTTCCTCTCCTTTTTTGTCTCTTCTCTTCCTCTCTCTTTTCTCATTTCCTCTCTCTTTTTATTTGTCTCTTGTCTCTTCTTTTTATTTGTCTCTTCTTATTTCTCTCCTCACTTTCCATTTCTCCTCTCACTTTTTATTTGTCTCTTCTCATTTCCTCTCCTCTCATTTGTCTTATTTTCCTCTCCTCTCACTTTTTATTTGTCTCTTCTCTTTCCTCTCCTCACTTTTATTTGTCTCTTCTCTTTTCCTCTCCTCTCACTTTTTATTTGTCTCTTCTCTTTTTCTCTCCTCTCACTTTTTATTTGTCTCTTCTCTTTTCCTCTCCTCTCACTTTTTATTTGTCTCTTCTCTTTTCCTCTCCTCTCACTTTTTATTTGTCTCTTCTCATTTCCTCTCCTCTCACTTTTTTTTCTTTCATTTCCTCTTCTCTTTTTATTTGTCTCTTCTCATTTCCTCTCCCTCTCCTTTTTATTTGTCTCTTCTCATTTCCTCTCCTCTCACTTTTTATTTGTCTCTTCTCGAACGAAATTAAATTATTTAGTTTCTATTTTGAAATGTGCAATTAATATTTAATGCTTTTAATTATCCATGTCATTTAATAACCCTAGCCGTAAATTCTTTAAATCACTAGGAGCTATGTATGTAACATAACGTTTATCGAAGCGGAAAGTGGAATCGGTGTATCGAGTTCAAATTCTGACTCTTTTTCGTTCGCCTTGCACTGATGCCCTTACAAAAAGGCAATGAATTCATTTTCCCCTAGTTAAGCATTAAATAGATCAGGCCGATCTCTGTTGCCTTAGATTGACATCCAGTCTAAAAATGTTAAGTCCTTAATACAAAAACAACCTGAAGAAGGACTGCAGGAAGCAACAAGAAGCAACATGAAGCAACGTCAAATATTTGGAACGAGCAATAAACAACAAAAACCAGAAAGCAGCAAGAAGCCACGGAATGCAACAGAAAGCAGCATAAAGCAATAAGAAGTAGTATGAAGCAATAAAATGCAATGGGAAGCAATAAAAAGCGACAGGAAGTAGTAGGAATCAATGAGAAACAACATGAAGCAATGGGAAAATCAGGAACCAACAAGAAGCAAACGGAGGCAACTGGAAGCTATAAGAACCAGCGGGAAGCAACAAGAAGGAGAATGCATTAGAAGCAACAGGAAACAGCATAAAGCAACAAGAAACAGTATGAAGCAACAAAAGGCAATGGGAAGCAATAAAAGCAACGGGAAGTAGTAGGAATCAATGAGAAACAACATGAAGCAACAGGAAAAATAAAAACCAACAAGCAACAGAGAGCAATAAGAATCAACAGGAATCAACAGTAAATACCAATAAGCAGCAAGATGCAAGATGAAACATCGCAAAGCAACAAGAAACAACAGGAAACAACAGAAAGTGAAACAAATATATAAAGTAAACAAACATTACTCAGTAAAATAGCAATAAGATTAAATTATTTTTTTCTTTTCCAGTTACAAAACCGGAAGGGTCAAAAAGATCTTTGCTCAGAATTATTCATTGAATTTAGGCGATCCTTTGTGCAATTGGATTTACAACGTTCATAGGAATCTTCACTTGTAAAGTGTAAATAAAAAAGGACAACTCTTTTTGTCCTGAACAGGTCAGGCGTTTGCATCATTGCAATGACAAGGCCCGATCACCTAAATAAATGTACTAAACCAGGAGATAAAAAAAAGGTCAAACTACATTAAAGTGCAAAAGTACAACAATAATCATTAAAAATATATATATTTAGAATACTGACATGGGTACACTAATTTTAAAATACTATTATTATTAAATTTAAACATATCATAATAAAATGAATAATATATTTAAACATATCATTAATAAAATGTTTCAAAAATACTATGAATAATATATTTTAAAATATTATTAATAAAATGTTTTAAAATAATATTCATGTAGTACTTTAAAATAATTTTAATAAAATATTTAAAAATATTAACAAAATATTCAAAAAAATATTAAATGAAGTGTAGAAAAAAAGCATTTTGATAAAAACAATAAATTAAAATATTTAAAATATTATTGATAAAATATTATTAATACCAAATACTGAAGGATATTATTAATAAGACAAATGAAATAAATTTCTGAAAAATATTTGAAATTAATAAAATATTTAAAATTTTAATAAACATTTTAAATATTAATAAAATATTTCAAAATATTATTGCCAAAATTTATGAAAATATTTTTGATAAAAATATTTGAAAATATTAATAAAATATTTTAAATTACATTAAGCACAATGCAGTGTTTTTTCGGAAACATCATACGATTCGATGTAAAATGTCATTAGAAAAAATTGGTAAAAACATTGAATTTTTGGTCTCGGTGATTCAGCTTGGTCAATTTTATATTTTTTGAAACATTTTATTGACAGTCTCCAGACATATTTTTATGAGACATTTTATTGACAGTTTCCAGACATGTTTTTATGAGACATTTTATTGACAGTTTCCAGACATGTTTTATGAGACATTTAATTGACAGTTTCCAGACATGTTTTTATGAGACATTTTATTGACAGTTTCCAGACATGTTTTTTTTAGACATTTAATTGACAGTTTCAGACGTGTTTTTTTATGAGACATTTTATTGACAGTTTTCGGACATTTTTTATGAGACATTTTATTGACAGTTTCAGGCATGTTTTTATGAGACATTTATTGACATTTTCCAGGCATGTTTTATGAGACATTTTATTGACAGTTTCAGGCATGTTTTTTGAGACATTTAATTGACAGTTTCAGACATGTTTTTATACGATAAAAATGATGGCGCTTAGTTTTAACTTTTTTTTTTTGTCTTTTTTTTTTTTTTTTTTTTTTTGTTCTTAATTTGTTATTTCATTCTCCTGTTACACTGGAGTCGACTTCTACACATTAAACACATTAAACACATTAAAAAGTAATTTCTTAGCCAGAAATCAAAAGTCCAATTATCCAAGAGTACACATGGCATTTTTTTTCTTTCGGACGTAGAAATTTTAGCCAGAAGTCTTTTCAAATAGACCAGATGAAATTTTTTTTTTCTTCACTGATAAGCTACTCGAGCTCCACAAGGGATAGAAAGTTGTGGAGAGCCATGATCGCGTATATCCTGAAGGTACGTGGCACCTAGAGGAAGAAGAAGAAACTACTCGGGCTATTTCTGCCTAGGTGTTCTTTAGAGCTTCAATCCCAGATGATTTTAGCTTCAAAAACCCACGAGATTCTCTAGTAATTTCCGGGTTTTTTTATTTGTTGAGATTCATTTAAGACGTATCAAGTCTCGCAAAATCTTGATCAAACGACAGCTTCGCTCAAGCTGTTTTAATTTCTCTGAACTCTTCTTAGGCATCTTGAACCATCCTTCTGTTTTTAAAATCTCTCTGCACGCTCTCTTTATTGAAACATATTTTGTCTTTTTTCTTCTTTTTTTTTTTTTTTTTTTGATTCTTTTGATTAGAACCGCTGATGGCGCAAATAGCCGGACTTAAATGCCGTGCGAAAATTTAAGAAAAACTTTTGTTGAACCATTTCATATCCCTTTGCCTGGTGTTTCACTCGTGATTGGCAGTTGAGCTAGATATGGTGTTCAGTGTGCCATTATTGTTAACGCTCCGATGCCCTTGATGTAATTTCTTTTCTTACAAGGCAACATCTTCGTCAACACTTTTAGCAGTTCTCGTCGAAAGGTCTTGTTGCAGAATCCATAAACTGCCGGGTTCAGGGCCCCGTTTAAGATCCAGGATCTATAGAGCAATAAAATGATCGATTCTTGAATGGGCGTTAAGATAACGTCATGATAAAAATACGAAGTCACCCCCACCAGCAAGGTCGGAAGAAAACTCACGGCGTATGCTACTGTGATACAGATCATTGTTCGGA